GGGGGTGTTTGTGTATCCCACTTTCATTTTGAGAAACGAAACCCAACATTTGCTGTGTCCCCTGTGCCCGTCTTTGTTCTCTTCCCTGCTAAAGAAGTTAATGCCATAATAACAGGTGTGCTCCTCGGCAGGCTGGAAAAGAAAGGGAAAAAAATGGGGGAAACAAGGCTTTGAAATTCGGAGACTTTTTTTTCCTAGGCAATCAATTTGATGGTTCATACTTTTGATAATGTGTATTCCTGCTCCTCCCTCCCCGTCCCCACTCATTCCGGACGTGGAAGCAACCTCGGGAGCTGTAAATCTCTTTCTGCTCGTCCCCTGTACAATGTGGGCGTTGCACTGTGCTTCGAAAGGCTCATGCTTTAATTAAAAGTCCATAATGTAAACTATGATATATAAAAAGTAAATGGCCCTTGAATTAGTAAGATGTAGCAGGGTTAAACAAACAAACAAACAAACAAAACCCCAACAAAACAGAAAAAGGAGGAGGGGGAGGAAAGGGGAGGGAGCATTTAAGTTGTCCTTAATCGTGTTCATTTATGTGATGCAATAGATCTTGCAGATGTTGCCAAATTGCCACATTTTCAAAGGAAGAAATATAAAGCTTTATGGAATGCAAAGAAGTCTATGTGATATCTATGTTTTATAAGATAACAAAACCAGTATTGCACCACATATGCTTCACACCTCCTTTTGTTTTATTAGAAGACTATGTAATTTGTAAGAATTTAATTTCCTTGTCGATTGGGGGAAATAATAGTAACAATAATAATAATAATAACAATAATAAAAAAATCCCTCCTCATCTAGTGAATTAATATACATGGAAATAACAGGGACTCCAGTTTGGAATGACATGATTTATGTACGTGATTCTTTAATATCCAGTCAATTTGAATAGTGATGTTTTTATATCCACAGTCAGTTGAAGATGCCAATAACAGCGGTATGAACTTATTGGACCAGTCTGTCATTAAAAAAGGTATGGATTATTCCAACAAGCTAGACAAACTTTTACTGTGTAGCGATATCTTCATGATATATTTTGACTTTGGGGCAATGAATTTCTCCGGGAAGCAGGCACCCATGGCAGCAAGATGAATAGTTGATTGGACCAGCAGATAGAGCGAAGGGATAAGACATGAGAAAGGAAAAGTTTCTATCCCCGCCTCCCCGCCCTTCCAAGGGTTTAATTACACGAATGGTCTCTAATGGGACACCCGGTGCTCCAGTGCCTTCCACCGCCCCCCTTCCCTCCCCTTCTCCCCCCGATGGTCTTCGGTGGGGACCCCTTGGCTTTTAATGGGGAAGGGGTTGATTCCCTTTGGGGCTTAAATGCATTTCCCAGGCGAATCAAACGCGGAGAGGAGAGAAAGAGATGCCCATGGAAAGGCAGACAGCCCCCTTCCCGCTCCCCCCAAGATCCCCCCTTCCCCCAAGGTTCCCCCCTTCCCCATTCCCATTTTTTACATCTTTCTACATATGCGCCCATGATTTAGTGTAACTGCAGAATCACCCCATACTGTTAAAGCGAATGTGATATTAACAAATGTTTGCAGTCTCTTGTACAGCTGTAAGCAAAATAATTAACTAATTAAACTAATTAAATGTAATTACAATAACTCATTTTGGGCGTATTGCAGCTGCTTAATTTTTTTACATTTCTCTGACAGTCACTCGAAGATGCTTGGCGATTAGTGTTGTGTTATGCTGGTAGACATTAAACAGCTCACACGCTGCAAATGGAGGGAAAGCTATCTTTAATTATCTAAGGAGTTTCTATTTCTAGATTCAATTTTAAGTACCAGAGATGAGGTTTAAAAACGCTGTCCCTTATGCTTACTATCAACGGCACTTATCTCCAGGACCTTGTTATTTGTCAAATGCGCACAAATAGTTTAACAGTGAAGATTTTCTAGGATGTAAAGCAAAATAAGAGGGAGGGGTTTTATCTAAAATGTGTTGAAGACAGCATGAGGTCTTTCCGTGTATTTATTGTTTGTTTTGTTGCTGGTTGTTTGCGGTTTTGGCTTTTTTTATTTTTTTTTTTTTTATTTAATTATTCATGTATGATCTCTCTTTCACACACAAGATCAAGGTCTGGTTATTTGAGCGAGGACTAATGAAAATTTGGAGACCATTTGACAGCACCATTTATGACTATTGCTTGAAAGGTCGAAGGGTTTTGGTTTTTGTTTTTTGTTTGTTTTTTTTTTTAAGAAATAGAAAGTTACTTAACTTTAAAAAGGAAAAAAAAAGGCTTGTATGTTTCTGCTGTTTTGGTTCAGTTTGAATGTTTGGTGGGGTTTATACTCAAGGTCTGTAACCTGACGGTTTCTGGTTGTATTTTTAACTTTTTTTTCCTCACTCTCCTCCCTCTTCCCCACCCCCACTTGACACCTCATACACTCCCTCTTGGGTGCATTTGATTAATTGGCACTTGATTTGTGGTCGAGAGACTCCTTTCTAAGGTTGTTCCATGATGGTCTTTCGCAGAATACACAATCCAAAACACTCTTTTTTTTTTTTTTTTTTTTTTTTTTTTTTTTTTTTTTTTTTTTTTTTTTTTTTTTTTTTTTTTTTTTTTTTTTTTTAACACGCATCACGCCTGTGTCTCTCCCTCCTTCAGCTGACGAGGACAGCGGAGACATTCCATGTGCGTGCTGGGTGGTGCAATCAGACAGCGAGTAGCACTAGAATGTGAATGCCTGCAATTATTACGTATTAGGTAGAGGTTTTTATATGCATTAGGCATATATTTAGGTGTGCTTCGTGTGTGGGGGCATTGCAGCGGCCCCAGCTGGAGCAGCTGCTGCCTGAAGAGACCCAGTCCCATCTAGGTGGGATTACTGGTGCCTATTTGCAGCCAGAAAAGATACTCTGAGTTAACACATGATGAACAGGAGACACATGCTCTTTGGAAATAAGGTTACTGAGAAAGAGCCTGAGATGCATTTACAACTGTTTCAAAGTCATTGTAGTAGCGTTTTCTTCCTTAGAAGCAAGGCTGAGGTCAAAGAAACTTTCCAGCATAAAAGAATGCTGTATTATTTTTCAATTTTTTTAAATTTTTTTAATTCTTAATTTTTAACTTTTTTTTTCCACAGCATGTTTCTTGCGTGCAGAGGAAGATAAATGGGTAATAAATAGCAGGTCACATTTGTGGCAGTCAATATTTAATCAGGACGAGGGAAGGAGCAACATAGCATTCAGTATCAATTTTGCTTTGTTCCCTGCAGTTTGTAGCTCTGAGGGTGTACTTTGAAACAAGAACAAGTTATTTAAACTCTGTGAGTCGTTCTTGCAGGTGGCACAGATAGACAGACATACAGGTATTGACAGATTTTTTTGCATTGGAATGCTCGTATTTGGTAGACGAGGGTTGCAGGGGGTCTGCTTCACCCAGCCCTGGTTCAGTGCCTAAAATTATTCATTGCAAAGTAGTGGGGAAAGTATGATGGGGACTTGAAGCCTAAACTTAATTATATCACCCAGGCTGCGTCTCTTCCTTTATGACCTCTGAGGCCTGCAGAGGGAATTATCTCTCTATGCAAAAGGTTTGCCAAAATATTAAGGAAATTATATAGGGATTCATAACGGCTATTGATTTATCTCACCTATCGATCCCACACAACAGCTTACACATACCCAGGCTCTTGTTATGTTTGCTATCCGAGCTTACTTGACATTTCTGAAGTAATTTAGTTAAGAGGAAATGAGTTGTTCCCAGTAGAGAGAGCAAACGAGTGGAGTGAAGGTAGCCAGCGTGATAAATGGCTCTTTCATTTGGAGATCTCCAGAGCTCGTTTAAGGCTAATTTTCTGTATTAGCCCCCTTTGAGCTATTAATGCAATAGGCAGGGACCGTGGCCCCTTGTCTCTTAGCTGCCCCATTAGAGCGAGCATTAAGCTACCAAGCCTGAACTCCACCGTGGTGGTGGTGGCACTGAAATAATGAAAGGTGCTTTTTAAACTCCACTAATCTAAACTGGCAGAGGGTGGTTAATACGATTTGAAGGGGGCTGGTCAATGAACAATCAATAAACTAATAATGAGAAGGATGCGGTACATTAACAGCCTAAAAATCCAACGAGACATTAAAAAATCATCTTTAACTCCCACTTCCATTAAGATTTGGGTGGTGGAAGTGGGAGGGAGGGAGCCAGAGAAATCATCAAGATGATAATAATCCCCAGGAACATTAATATCAGATTTAACTCAGCTTTCAGAGCTTACCGGCTGCACATTTTGAGGATTTTCTCTCAATTTTTGCTGAAATGAAGAGAAGGTTTGCCATGTGTCAGGAGTAAAAGATCGGGTCCCCTTGTCAAATGCTCATCTGAAATTTCCTTGGCACTTTCTATGGTGAAAGAAGTTGTCTTCCTGTAAAACCTTGCATGGCCTGAGTCCCAAGTTAATTTTTTGTGACTCTGGGGCACAGTCAGTGACCTTAAAATTATTCTCATGTATTTATTTACTTTCAGCTGTTTCTGACCATCGTCTGCACACTTACATCTGATTTATCATGAAAGGCCATTTTAACTTGAAGACCTTAATTCATGGTCTTGCAAACACGCTCCGTTGTTCCTCTTATTTTAAGGAAACACATGAAAGAAGGTGTCTTAACCTTTTGTTTTTAGCTGTTAATAATCCAGCACGAGTTTCCTCCCCACCCCTCGGAGCAGCTGATCAATGATTAACTGAGAACCACTCTAACCTCAGCTTTTCAGGTGATAGATGTGGGCCTCAAGAGATGGTGCTCCAGCGCCACTCATTTTCGTGCTTATTCCCGGGTTACCCACTGAACCTGAGGATCCCCTTTAATTAAATGCAAAACAGTTTCGGGGGAATAAATTCCACCTTGAAATTCCGTCCCAGCTTTCAGGGACGGGGACTGCGGTGGGGGAGAGGGGCGGGAGGAGAGGAAGGGACGAAGGGGACAGAAGGAAATTCGAGATGAATGCGCACGTTTGTGTTTGTTCCTTAAAATTAAGATAAGACCCGGGTCTCTTTAGTTTCAGCTTCTAAGACGCTGCTCCCGGACGTTTTAGGCTTGGCTACTGAGTCAGACGGAATCGCCACTTACAGCAAAGTCCTGTTGTTAGCATGGACAAAGAACTTCTTACTCATTTAAAGCCCAGGCAGAGTAAAAAAAATTGAAAGTAGTTTGATACTTTATTAATAATTAATTTGACCACGATGTTTTTTAGTAAGTAATACAAAAATTATTTCTTCTGATTGATAATTTAACTGACTATTCGACTACGGTATTATTTAGGTGGGTTATTGAAATGATAGCCATAGTTTAAACCCTTATGGAACGTAAGTTTATTATTTCTTTAGTTTTACTGTTGTCAAAACAGCTTTTTTCACCCCATCTCCACTTGCGCGTTCACATTTGTGCGCATTTTCACACGTTTGTGGTGAGCAGCCCAACAGAAATCCACCTCCACAAAAAAAAAAAAAAAAAAAAAAAAAAAAAAAAAAAAAAAAAAAAAAAAAAAAAAAAAAAAAAAAAAAAAGAAAAGAAAAAAGAAAAAAAGAAAAAGCCTAAGACTTAATGTATGCACAGAAAATTGTAAACATGTAAAGAACTGAAAGCTTCACGCTGAGTTTCGCCATGCTCCATTTCCTCACCATTTCCTGCTGTCGTTCTAAAGCGATCTCACTCATCTAGAGATCCCGTTTGCAGGAACAGTATGCTTATAATTACTAACAAATCAAGCGGCTACTGTTGCTCTCTCGGTTTATTGATAAGCTGAAGAGAAATGGAAGGGGGAGAAATGACAAAGAGGCTGGAAGTAACCACAGGAGGACAGAAAGAAAAAAAAAAAGAGGGGAGAAAAAGGGATGGAAAAGGAAAGGGGGGAAAAAAGAGACAAAGGAGGTAAATAAGGAAAAATAATAGCTAGTAGAAAGCTGAGATTTTGAAAGGATGAATTATGTATTTGTGAATGCTCTCACACACGCAGCAAGTAGAGTTTGGGAGTGAAAGAAAATCGAACAATTTCTGCTGGGGATGACAAGAACTAAATGGGATAAAGTGAAAGCAGGAGTGATGGGGACGCTGCGTGGATACGTGTGTCTTATCCTGTGTCATTTCAGCAGTTGTGGCAGTCCCTGACCAACTGGGGAAGTTGACATTGGCTAAAAATACACTCTGCATTCGGGTTTATTTACATACGCTCAGGGATTTGACACATGCAGCCGCACGCACGGACGTGGAGATCTCCTCACCCACAGAAGCTCCACGTTCTGTTATCTCCGCTGATGTCTGGGCTGTGTCTGAAAAGCTCCAGCCATGATAAACATATAGATATGATATAGATAGAGATAATTCATTCCGTGGCAAACACTTTTTTGAGGCAGCATTAGGTAATTTACAGAAGATATAGAGCCTAGATAGAATAGATCTCTCTGAAGCTATGAAATTGCAATAGATATGCTTACACCGCCTGGCAAGCCTCTCCAATGGGCTCAGAGCTATCAGGCTCCGGCTGATGGGTTTGTTCGTACCGTCCTTTTCAGGGAAACACTGCTAGGAAAAGAAGCTGAGGAGCTCTCAGCATAGCAGGGAAGGGAGCCAGCCTTCTTCCCAAAAGCAATTTGCAAGAGGAAAAAAAAAACCACCGAGCACGTGAAAATCCATAATTCAAAGGTTAACTAATGTAATGAGTGCTCCAAAAGGCCAAAGAGAGCGGGGTGAGGAACATTTAAGCATTGCACGGGTCCTTCTCTCTTTAGTGAGTTTGGACTAAGATCAGATGTTCGTGGAATTGCTGCCTCTTGTTTAATTTCTCAGTTCACTGGACAGTGACCTGATAAACTGGTCACTAAATATAGCCACGGTAAAGGTGTACTCGAACCACAGAGCCCATGTGTTTGTCCCAAGAAAAAAAATGCCAGTCATGAAAATCTGTCTGGTGGTACTGCTTTATTCCAATTTTTTTTAATTTCTATTTTTTTCTATGTGATGCTTCACTCAGACCGATCATTGTGTATGAAATAAGAGATATAGTTATATATAATGAGGGGGAAAATACAAATACAATTTTTTGGTCTGTTGGTACTGCCTCTGATATACAAACGAGTCTTTTCCTATAGAATCAATGGCAAAAAAAAAAAAAAATCCTAATAATAGCAATGAAAGCAGGAGCGGGCTCCTAACTCTTTTATAACTATTTCTGAGCCATTCTCAAACTATTTGAAACCGCCTTTATGAGCTGCATAAAGTGCCTACCTAAAAATAATAGAGAAATAGGAATCCATTTCACTTTCCGATTCCCTGAAGTCAAGCCACTCAAAATAATTTGTTTATACTGGAGACTATATACAAGGCATACGAAGCAATATGTATATCTAAAATCGACATGCCTTTTGGTTTTTAGCTGTTATAGAGCTTTTATTGTGGGGGTCTGGTCTGGCAGTAGGAAATTATCTGCAATAAAAACAGTGAAACACGGTTGTGTCTATTCCATGCACTGAGGTTATAAAATTGGCAATTGCCCAGTAGTTAGCACTTGGTAATATATTAGGATACCCGATCTTATTGTTTAGCAGCTCCAGACGACTTAAATATCCGCTCAACCCTAATGGTTTGATTCTCCAGATATGTTGCAAATAAACAGGGCTTTTATGACTTAGCTGACATGTATTATAACTACCTAAATAGCTGGCATATGTGCATAATAGAAGCTTATTATTTGCCGAATTGGTTTTGCAATTGATTGAGTGGAAACGGGAGATTGTGGAGCAGTATCTGCTTGAAGAGGGTGTGTAATCAATTAGTCTTCTCCTCTGGAACATGCCCGCTGGACTGCCAGGGCTCTCCCACCACCACAAGCCCCAATTTCAAAGTATATTTTCTATAAGGAAAAGCGTGTTGCCGCGGATCCGAGAGGAAGCTGCAGTAGCAGCTGTCAGCTCTTATTAACTCCTGCATAAAACATACCTTAAGTATGGTTTGTTATCAATTACTTGCAGAAATGAAACAACTGGGAAAATGCAGCGAGGCTCCCTATAAATTAAAGTGATTGGGTGATTGATTAGAGCACCTGCTGTAAATCATAACAGTTACACACAATTATGAGGGAGTTACTTAAGTTCATTTGTAAACAAAATTCATGTCACGGGGGAATTGCTCTCAATTTTAGTTCAACCAATTTTTTTTGTTTATTTCTGAGTGTGTCTGGTGGCTATTATAGGAATTTGTTCGTTATAATCCCTTGGTTACTCTTAAAATAACCTCACTGAGTTCTCAGAGAAAAGAAATACTTATTTTTATCTTGGAGAGAACAACAAGGTTTTATTTTGTTTAGTTTCACTTTATCATTCTCCTTTTACTTTTCCCTATAACTACCTTTAAATGCATGTTGCAGTAACTAAATCAGTTTTATTTAGGGGTAGGAGAGTTCCTTCTAATTCACGGACAGCACAATATGATCAGAGTGGAGAGCACCATGGTTAGGCCAGATATTTTTTTCCTGGTGTTCATTTTTCTGAAGGAAAAGACTCATTTTATTTCATAAACCAGACTTAATAAAAACACAAAGCAATAACAGAGCTGTCTTCTCATTGCTGTATCCTCCAGCCTTGATACTTATTTAAGACAGCAACTCCCTTTGTGTAGTGAATTTATTCCTGGCTCAGCTTAGCACTAATGGAAACATTAGCAAAAAAAAAGTAAATTTTCCTCTTTTTTTCCCCTCCAGAAAGGCGCTGTCCGTTGTACAAAAGGCATCGGGGGGCTCTGGGTGAGACACAGGCTCAAACCCGAAAGTTGCCAGGTGCTTGCCAATATGTATTTTATTTCCCAATGATCAAACCCTGCATAGAGGCTGTACTGTACCACCCTTCTCTCCATCCATCATTCATGGAGCACTTTCCTAGAGGTTGGGGGAGCAGCACCCTTTAGGTTGCTGGAGGTAGCCAGAGATTCAAAACTCCCTTTCATTTTGCTGTTCTGTGCATGTCAGAGAGACTGTGGTTATCCTGTGCTCCTTCGTGGCGTGATGGTTTCTCTCTCCCCTCCTCCCCTTTTCTTTCTCCAGTTCCGGTTCCTCCAAAATCTGTTACTTCTTTGATGATGAATAAAGATGGCTTCCTGGGTGGAATTTCAGTCAATACCGGAGAGGTGTTTTGCTCTGTACCTGGCCGCTTGTCTTTGCTTAGCTCAACTTCAAAGTATAAAGTAACTGTGGGAGAAGTTCAGAGGCGTCTTTCCCCTCCAGAGTGTCTGAACGCTTCCCTCCTAGGAGGAGTACTTAGAAGGTAAGAGGCTGGGGGAAACGTGAGAATGTGTCTGGGCCTCCATGCATGCACCAGAAACCCTTGGTCAACAGTACAGATGATTTCAAACATGCATCGATCCTACTGTCAGAGCCTGTGTGTGTAATGCTGGTGATAAGACAAAAATATGCTGTGTTCAAACACTGAGATGAATATATGGAGAGTAGGGAAATATTTGGCCTTGTTTAGCCACAAATGAAGGAAAAGAGACAGAAGGATTTTCTCCTTGTCCACGCACACACTTTCCATCTCTTCTCCGCCTCACACTTCTCTCTTAGAAAGTGGACAAAATAAAATGCCCTGATGGGTGTATTTCAGGCTGAACTGCAAGCATTTCAGGACCTGATGTATTTCTAGGGATTTCCTAGATAAACGCACGAGGTTTGCTCTACATGGCACTAACGATCAGGCAATTATGTCAATTATAACACGTGGTGTCACACAAGAAATTGGCAGGGATCTGACAGGCAAACTGTAAGGTAGGCAAGTACCTGACTCAAGAAGAGCCACCAACAGGTAGCTCTGAAAGTCAGAAACTTGGTGCTTCACACAGAGAAAGTTGCTGCAGCACACAACTGGTCTCGAGGCCTTTGCTGCTTAATATTTGTGCAAATCACCCACTCATGTCCTGGTGGATTTTGACACAATAGTTGGCAGTGCTGGTACTGAAGAAAGTGGGGAGCAAGGAATAACCCTGAGGCTCGTTTGACACTCCATCATAACAAGTGGGAGACTGTGCTTTTATGTAGAAGCATCAAGAATTTAAGCTCTGAGGCCATTAGCTGGAAAGGTTACCAGGGAGAAAGGACTTTTTCTTCTTGGCAGCGCCTGAGGGACTGTGAATGGTCATCACGGCTTTTCTGTAAGAAAGGTGAGCTCAGGTTCTCTCTCCAGTCACAACAGGGGAAAAGCCATGAGGTTACAATATGAGGTACCAGTTCACACACTCAGGCTGAGAGGGTACAAAGATTTCATTTTCTGTGTGTGAGGTAGACACCAGACTGGAATAAAAATAATAACTTTTAAATAGGGACAGATGCATTCAAACTGACAATGAATAAACTTCAGATCATGTTTAGAAGTTGCTAATCTTAGGAAGGAAATATCTTGAAAACTCGTATAGCAGCAGCTGGGATACACTGGCTCTAAGGCGCTTTAAAATAAAGCCAATGTTTGGGACTCCCCCTTGTCCCTGCAAAAAATTCTGTGATGACGACAAAGGCTGTGGCTCCGTGTCTGGAGACGAGGGGGAAAGTTCTGCTACATGCGATCAGTCACCCAAATATCCACGTGAGAATTAGGGTCTCCTAAAATAGCTGCTGTTCCATGTGAATGTCTGTAATCATTGTTCAGCTGCCAGGGAGAGCAGCAGAGAGATTTTTACTTACAGATGCTAACCTGCCTGCTCCTTCTGTACAGCTACAAATGGAGCAGGGAGAACATCTGAGAGATGCTCTGTAGAAAATATAATTACCAAGGTAGAGAAGCATTATTATTGACCTTCAGCAGATTTCTGGACGTGGCCCAAGCCATGATTATTGGCTGCTGCTGACTTCAGTTCCTATCTTGAATCTAAATTTTAAACAAGATTTTGGTTCAGAGCAGATGAGACGGAGAAAGCTGCTCTCTTGCAATTCTGCCATCCAGCCCTATTTACTTCGATATAAAATAGTGGGAAGCCGGTCTGGCTTCTCTGTAGTTTCTGATTTCCTTTCTCTAAGTGCGACTTCTAATTCTTAAGCAAGTTTTAAGTAAGAATTATGAGACAGTTGGAATAGACTTTGCTCTTAGGTGCTAAAACTCTCCCTAACTTCGCAGGTGGCAAGATTTCATCCCTGGGGGTTTACATATGTATGGGCGTTCGAACAATAGCTCCGAATTTCCCACTCACCCTTTTATTGCCCTTATCAGTAACCTCCGACAGATATTCCAATCTTCCCCCAGGCAATCCATTCCCTCTTATAACGCACCTTGCCTCAGGTGAGCTCTTCCTCTCAGCATTGCCTCCTCGCACAAGAACACACTCACACTTCACAGGCGAGAAACAGTTTAATAAATATTTCCCTCCTTTTCAATTTATCCACAGGCACACACACTCCCTTCGAACTTTTCAGATTTATTTAGTTTTTTATCCCCTAGTCTTATTATAGTCCTTTCCTGGAATAACAGAGGGTTTAATCCTCCTCTACCTTCCTGCCCAGCCCTTTTCTACATCTAAATACAAGTTGGTATCATACCCACTTGCTCTCTATATCAGAACCTTGCCATTAATTATTGCTGTTTGGCGCTGTTTGATTTCCCTGGATAAAATCGGGAGAAAAGTGGGTTCATCCCCACTTCTACCCCTGGGTGAAATTAAGAAAATCTCAGCAAACCCGAGCAGAAATCAACACCCCCAGAGTCCTTAACGTCGAGTGAAAACCCTCCCAAGGCTTCGCTGACTGCACAGACTAAACGTTTCTTCCAGGAACACTGCGGGGTTAATCACGATGTTAATTCCTTTGCAATTCTAATTCTAGAGCCAAATCGAAAAACGGGGGGAGATCTTTGCGAGAAAGGCTAGAAAAAATCGGTTTGAATTTGCCAGCCGGCAGACGTAAGGCCGCAAATGTCACTTTACTCACCTCCCTGGTGGAAGGTAAGCCGAGGGTCGCAGCCCCCTTCACACCCCTGCTCTGAGCTCCTGTCTGACATTCACAAAGAAAAAAAAAAAATCCCAAAACCCAAACGAAAACAAACCAAAACAAACCCCCAAAAAACAACCCAAAATCCACCAACTTTCGGGATCAGGTGGGAAAACCTTGTAGAGGTGAAAATCAGGGTGGGTTAGGAGGAACACTGTCATGGTTAAGAATCCTATTCCCAAAAATGAAGTCACTGGCTGGAGGACCACTGATCCCTCTTGGTGGCAAGAGTGAGGGAGTGTGTCTGTGTGTGTATGTGTGGATATATGCGTGTGCATTTGCGTGCATGTGTAACTCTGTCGGGCAGTCCCATTCCTCATGCTATTAATTTCCATTCTGTGATCTCCGACTCCAGGTCTACTCCAACCTCCTGCTAACTGGCTCTTCCTGAGCTGATTTATGGCCACTACAAGATGCTTAGTGAGGAAAAATAATGAAAATTTACTTTCCCCCCGACTTTTTTTGGTAAGAAAGCAGAGCGATTTGAGAGTAGCAGAGCTCGGTTTCCCTTAAGGTGGCTGGAGCTGAACAAAGAGACCAGCGACTCCTGAGGAAGGAGAGAGGGGAGAACAGACTGAAGTTTCAAGTCATTTCAAGTCAGCTAATGTCATTTTGGTGGCCATCGTGTTTCTTCTATTTGTTGTTACTGTATCGACAAGGAAAAGTTAGAGCCACTAATAAGTTTAGGGTTATGTGCGTGTTTATGCTAAGAGAAGTTGGACTTCCTCCAAAAAAAAAAACCCTAACCGGAATAGTATGGATGCAATTATGAATTATATGTATCTGCATTGCACATACACACCGAGAGGCACATAAATAATCCACTTATCTCATCTGCGCATAAAGCGAGCACAAATATTTGTGCTAGATATTAACTTTCCAACTCTTTTGATTGAGTTATGTGAGCGGCAAGACCTTGCGATTGCAGAGCTGAAGGAAGGCTCGCAAAAAGACGGGGGCTGAGGGGAGGGAGCTCCTCCTCCACCCGCATGTGGGTGATGCCGAGAGTGCAAGGCTCAGTGTGGGTTACGGGTGTAGCTATAGAAGGCGTGAAGCATTTTGGGGGGCACTGTTAGTGCAGCTTCACCCCCATGCGCTCTGCTCGCAGCAGCACCAGCCCCTCCCCGAAGCTGGTGTGAGGTTCAAAAGCCGGTGGGGTTGTGTAGCGATGCTAAAATCTGTGTCAAGTGTGCAGTAAGGTGTACATTCCCCTCCTCTCCCCTGATTCCCTTACAAATCAACAGTTCGCCTCCAGAGAGCTCCCTCCTTTTGGAAGAAGCTGCACCTGATGGTGTTTTAGGTTTTATCTCTTTTTTTTTTTTTTTTTTTTTTTTTTTTTTTTTTTTTTTTTTTTTTTTTTTTTTTTTTTTTTTTTTTTTTTTTTTCCCTCCTTCCTTCCAGCAGCCAGGTTTAGCAGAGCTGCTCCTGTATCGCCAGGAACAGGAACGCTCCGGTCGGTCCCGGTCCGAAGGCTGCCTTGGAGGACCGTGCCCGGCTCGGACCCCCCCTCCAGGCTCTGCCGGGTGCCCTCGCCTTCATTACCCGGTTTGATGATTAGCGAGAGCCATTGGAGAGCAGGAGATGACGTTGGAAAGCAGCTCCTGATAGTTAAAAATAACGCGGTCCTGGAGTTATTAGACATACCTGCTTGCTGGAAATCTTCCCCCTCGTCCCTCGGGCGATGCTTTAAAGGGTTTAACGTTTTATTCTAGAGGGGCTGAGCGATAATCTGGTGGAATCCCTCTAGAGTCTGAGGGTTTTTTCCCCCCCTCCTCTTTTCCTCCATTCTGCAGCTACTGTCTTCTTCTTGTGGCATGAAGTACATCAGTAGGAGTTGGATGACACAAACCTCTGTAGGCAAGAAACCTAAAACAAGGCAGGCAGAAAAAGTGAATTAGAATTAGAGCTAGAATAATAATTATTTTGTTCACAGAAAAAGTGCCATTAGCTGTTAACTTTCCACCCGGTAGACAAGAGTTCTTGTTGCATGATGGTCAGTTAAAAATGCAGGTTTTAAAATTGCCATCGGGGTAAATGCAGGTATCTCCATAATTTTACAGATGTGGCGATAACTGTGATAATGATGCAAATGCCCTGTGTCTGGATATATTGTGTCTATAATGTCCCACAAAGAATTAACGTTAACATTAATAATATATCCACATCTGTAAAATTTTGGACAATGATCTGAGGTATTGAAACAGGAATGGTTTCTCTGCTGATCAGAGAAGTTTTTGTCCTTAGTTTTTCAGGATTTGACCAGTAACCTCTTGCATTTTTTTTTTTGGTCCAGTTAATTTTAAAGTGTGTGTGTTTTAATTTGTGTGTGTGTGTGTGGTGGGTGTGTGTGAGCTCTTCCCTCCGTTCTGCACAAGCACCCGATGGGTACAGACCCACACGAGCGCAGTGCAGCAAAGACAAACCTCATCAGCTCAAAATCTGTCCCATCGACTTCTGTCCCCAAAATAGGGCTGGTGAGGGGGGGAAACACACAACTGGAGCCTGTCCCTGAGGTGGAAGGGGCGATGCCAGGTTTCCAAACACGGCTCAAAGGAGCCGGTGTCCCCAGGGGAGCCGTGGGCTCCGCCCGGTGTCCCGGCGGGTCGGAGCCAGCCCAGCCCGGGGCCGGCGGTGCCCGGAGGTTTTAATTCCCGTCTCCTTCCCTCCAGGTGAGGCCGTTCATTTAGCTCGGGATTTTGGGTACATCTGTGAAACGGAGTTCCCAGCCAAAGCTGTTTCTGAGTACCTGAACAGACAGCACACGGACCCCAGCGACCTCCACTCCAGGAAAAACATGCTGCTTGCTACAAAGTGAGTGCCGAGTTAACTCATGCCCCTCTGCCCTTCTCGGAGAAAATCCTCCCTGTCCTCAAACCCTTCCTCTAAGCCCATTTGGAAAGCAGGCGGAATTTCCAGGCTCTAAATTCCAGCAGCCCCGCGGGCAGGAAGGATGCTCAATTCGCCCAAAGGACCTCTGCACCCCTTTGCGGTGAGGATCCTGCCGGCAGACCCTGTCCCTATAGAGCTTGTAGGGGATGCTCCCCTAGCTGTTGCACATTACTTCCAAGCCATCCTCAGTTAAATAATTTTTATGTAAAGTGGACCAAAAATTTATATTTTGCTTCCACAGTGTGTTTATCTGTTCCTGCTGCTGCTCACACACACCTGTCTGCTACCCAACTGCCTTTCCTATAGGATTTAATTAAAAAAAAAAAAAAAAAAGATAAAAAAAGAAGAAATTATTTGCCCTCCTCAACCCATGTCTCTCCCTTGGGACTTCCTCGGTGGTGTGTTGTACGTGATGATTTACACCAGGCTGTGCCTTCCAGGCTACTCACTGGGTGTTTCATGGTTTGCTCGGGTACTCGGCAGTGGGTGCTGAGTGTTCACACATCTTGGTCTGCCAGGAATAAAAAGGGAGTAAAAAAAATAGAAAGAAAATAAAGGAGAATCCCAGCCCAAGCAGCTCCCATTTATTTCATGTTCTGGGACGTGGCTTGCCTCCGATGACAGTGTAATTTAAAGAAATATATGGAGGGTTGAAAAATCATTTGCTCAAATTTGTCCAGATGTTTCTTATACGTGATTGGAATTTGATTGCCCTTTTCCGCAGGGTCAGAAGATATTAATGTCCCAGAACTTTAATTGCTCGCAGACCCTGCTTTGCTCTTTGAAGATGTAAAATGTTGGACTCATTACTGTTTGTTCTCCAAATTCAAAGTTTCCTCTCTTGCACTTTCTTAATGGATAATACACATAGAAGTAGACCTTTATCTTTCCTCACCCTCCGAAACCTTTAACCCTCTGGGAATTTCAGAGAATTTCAGAGGATGAGAGCTGAATGTCTTTTTTTAAGGGCTTCTTTCTTTCCTTTTTTTTTTTTTTTTTTTTTTTTTTTTTTTTTTTTTTTTTTTTTTTTTTTTTTTTTTTTTTTTTTTTTTTTTTTTTTTTTTTNTTTTTTTTTTTTTTTTTTTTTTTTTTTTTTTTTTTTTTTTTTTTTTTTTTTTTTTTTTTTTTTTTTTTTTTTTTTTTTTTTTTTTTTTTTTTTTTTTTTTTTTTTTTTTTTTTTTTTTTTTTTTTCTTAAAAAACTCATACCTTTGGGTATCCTTAAAGAAGCTATTCCTGTGGGAACCCCACCAGCCTCCAGGGCTTCTGCATTGCCCAGGAACCTGTTGACTTGAAGGTCTTATGGACCAGAGTAATTCAAATTAAAATATATGTGTGTGAATTCATTAGAAAAAATCAAATCAGATTTTTCAAAGGTGCAGACAAACAACCAAGAGCCAGATGTCAACTCTGATGTGGTAATTGGGGTGTCATGCCTCCAGAATAAAATGGGAAGTTCTTGCTTGTCTTCTCATGATATGAACAAGCCAGTATGGAGTCCCCAAATCCTGATTTTTCTCAGTAAGGTGGTCCAGCCTGAGCAGTGTCAGAGGCTCTGTTTTAGTCCTCCCCTGAACCAGGCCCCTGTGCCACCCAATAGCTCTCAGAGCATGGCTGTCCTTTCATTCAGGAAGAATATTTCTGGGAGCTGCCTTGAGCCAGGGTCAGGCCTCCAGGAGGATGGGTGCTTGGCAGATCCAGGGCACATCTCCCTTTCAGCCTGGATGTTTCTGAGGCCACCAGGCAGAGCTGGGTTTTCACAGTGCTTCAGAAGCGTTCCTGTGGCTGCTGGAGAAGTTTTAATCTCCAGAACTGGTGTTATCCCCTGAAGAGCATCGTTCTGAGCAGGGAGCTGCTGGCTCGCCCTGGATGGTCCCTACGAACCTCTGGGGGAAAGGATGGTGGCAAAAAGATCAATTTTGGCCTGAACCTGCCCCTTAGCTGTCACAGAGAATTGTTGGATGAGCCTAACAGCAGCTCCTCTCTCCCTCTCTTTGCCTTTCTCTCTTCCCTGCAGGCAACTTTGTAAAGAATTTACAGATCTCTTGGCCCAGGACAGAACGCCCATTGGGAACAGCCGGCCCACCCCAATTTTGGAACCGGGCATTCAGAGCTGCTTGACTCACTTCAGCCTCATCACCCACGGCTTTGGGGCCCCCGCTATCTGCGCTGCCCTCACGGCCCTCCAAAACTACCTGACTGAAGCTCTCAAAGGCATGGACAAGATGTTCTTGAACAACAACACTGCTAACAGGCACACATCTGGCGAAGGACCAGGTAGTAAAACTGGAGACAAGGAAGAGAAACACAGAAAATGAGAGAGAGAGAGAGAGAGAGAGAGAGAGAAAGAGAGAGAGAGAGAGGAAAAAATTAGAATGAAAGAAAGGAAAAGAAAAAAAGTTAAATAAATAAAAGGAGAAGAGAGAGATAACCTTTTAAAACAAAACCATCATAATTTTAGCTTTAAAAATACTGGATTGGGCTTTGGAAGAATTCTATTAGGTAGGACAAAATAATAATAAGCATAAAATAAAAATAATAATAATAAAAGAAAGACAATAATTTAAGATCAGAGGAGCACAATGGCGCAAGACCAGTGGTTCAGAGTCTCTTGCCAGGAACATGTGAAGACAACCACCAGGATATTTTTCCCCACTTCTGTTCTTTCACATTTTTAAAATAATGATTGGGGGGGAGGGGAATATAATAATAATTAATAATAATAATAAAAGAAAGACATGAATAACTTATTGGAAGAAATCTGGAGAAACATTTTTGGTGTCAGTGCTTTGATTTCTTGAGCTGCATGGTCTGTCTTGCTATTATTTTTTTAAAATTTTATTCTTTTTGCTTTAAAAAACGTCCTGTCTCCACCTAGACTAAAACAATCTTCCAGAGTGTTCCTTTCTGAGCAACCCCATGGCCTCACTCCCCCCAGCTCTTCCCACCTCATCTCAGCACCCTGGTTCTGTCTAGACTAGGAAAGGAGGGGAGCTCCCAGACCCCTCACCAAGCCATCAGCACCAGCTGCGTTCACAGCAGCGTGGACTTAACTTTGGGTGCCACCAGAAGGGACGTTCGGGGTCGCCGTGGCTCAGTTGAATCTGCCAGCTCTGTTCTTTAAGAACTATTTTGTGTTTTTTTCCTGGTCTAGACAGACTCTCTGTTTAGATTGGCAGCGTTTACAGGTGTGGCTGGGTGCGTGTGTGCCTCTGTGTGTGCATCTGTGGATGTGCACACCCGACTCCCTAGGGGGGTATCCCGTGTATGTTTGTGCATATATATGTATATATGTGGATATATACATATCTATATATATATATAGATATAAAATATGCGTGTGTAGCCACGCATATTAATGCATGCAAACATACCTTTGTAATTTAGTAATTTTGTCTTTGATGGTAAAATGCCTTGTCTATAATGGGTTGCAAAATTTTGGAAGTAAGGTCTGGTACAATGTCAGTGCTATCTGATTTCTTAATTTTCTGAGATCTCCTCTTTTTCTCTAAGGAGTTTTATATTCCAAACTATGCTAATGTTTCAGTTCTTAATTTCCTTGACTAGTGTGTGTGAGAGAGCTCTTTCCCCATTTTTAAAGAACTGTTAACAACAACAAAAAATGAGTGATATGAGTATGTAATTCTTTCTCAGGAGTATGCACTATTTTATTTTCTTCTGTTTCCTAAAGCTTTGCCCGCTTGGCTTATGAGCTTCTTCAAAGAGGACTAGAGATCCCTACACAATATATCAGGTACAGAGAAAAAAAATCCACAATTCTGATATTCTGATACTTTTTATTTTTTGCTTTTTTTGCTTTTTCAAATCAAAGCCAGTTGTTACTGAATTCTGTAGGTGCACTTCTTTAAAGAAGCTCAAAGGGAATAATTTGAACAAGATAAAAATATAAGTTGAAATCGAGGTGTACTGTTGCAAAGAGAATAAGAGCTGTGTTGAATGTTACGGCACTTGCTTGGCACTAGGGTTTTGTACCCAGGGAGGAAAGAGTTGCCATGTGAGCTGGCTCCTCGTGATGGGAGTGGGGAGGGTTTGCCAGGGAATATCCTGATTTCTGAGCTCAGTCTGAGGAAATCTGTTTCTCTTAGAAAGCTTCTTCTTTTTTTTTTTTTTTTTTTTAAATGTCTTGTGACTCTTGCTTTGGAACAAGTCAGTGTGGTGAGGGGGGCAAAAACTTCTTAACTCCAATGTTTATCTTGGTGGTTTGGTGTCTGACAGGATGTCTTATGCATATGATTTGGGGCAGTGGGGGTGAAGGGGAAGTCTTATTTCTTTCCTCTCTCTTTATTTTTCCTTTTTCCAATATACATTTCTCTGACTTTGGTAAAAATAACGCTGAAGTGTAAGGATATGAATTTCTGTTTGGATTTTACCATGTTGGGTAATTGCATGTGTTTCTCAGTGGGGTAGGGCTCGTGCACTAACACATCTTTTTACTTATGTCAGAACTGGGTGTGGGTAAATCTCCTGGAGTCTCTGGCAAAATTCCAGTGGGGTCAGGCCTCCCCCTAGAATCCCTGTGAGAGCTGCAGGACTCAGTCCCACCATCCCAAGCAGGCACACCTGAACTCAAAACAAGAGAGAGAGAGAGACACCCTAGCCTTTCTTTCATTTTGTGATAATTTCCAAAGTGGATAGTGAGGGAGAAATAATTCTGCAATACTCTCAACATCCCTTGATGAAATGTTCTCAAAACAAAGGAGCAAATGATCCTCTTGAATGATCCTCTTGCCCCCTTTAGTGCCCTTGGCTCTCTGAGACATGGTTACAGCTGGGGGCCTGCTCTGCTTTTCAAATCTTCATGCAGCCAGGTCTCAGTTTTTGTTCTCTGCTTGTGATTTGGACACACGTGGCAATAGAAATCCAGGGATCATCCAACCCCAAGGAGCACTGGTCCCTCCCAAGCTGCTCCTCAGTCACGTACCTTTGGTTCTTCTGGGGCACTGGGGGATCTCCTGTGAGAAAATGGGGGACCTGAGGCAGGAAGCCTTCTCCATGGGTTGTTTGGATGAGTTGGAGGCAGGTTTAGACCCTGGCATGTCTCTGCCAGTGAGTTTGGTTGTGGCAGGGGTTGTCACATCCCTGTGGATGTCACCAGAGGAGGTGTGGTGGTCAAATAATGGAACTCCCACCAGCAGGCTGGGGACCGTCAGACTGAAAAAGAACTTCCCCAGTCCTCCAAATCTTACCCCTTGCCAACCACCCCAAAGTTCATCAGTCAATCCAGGCTCCAGTGTAGGGCTTGGCCCAGCAGTGATACAAGGGAAAGGGAAAGAGGGGATCTGGGGAGGAACAAATGGCCGCACCTGGAAGCACAGTTCCCTTCTCTGCCTGATGGGAATATCCTGTTTATTGGAGCAGTGCACCAAGTATTGGATGTTGCCTTGCCTTCCCCCTGCAAATAGGATTTGTGAGGAGCCTGTGGGTTCAGCTCTTCAGCATTGTCCCATCCAGTGGGGCTTTTGGGTGTGGGGAGACCCCAAATTAGCTCTCAGTCTTCCACATCCCCAGGTGCATGTGCAGGGCCACGGGAACTTGCCCCCTGCCACCCCAGAGCTTGCAGCTGAAGGCTTTGGGGCCGTGTTGGGAATGGCCTTTCCCTGTCTTTGGGGAGATGTATTCCACCACCACTGTGGGACAGTGGGGAGATGGAACCCTTGGAACTTCTTGGGGAAAGACTTACTTGTGTGAGGGCCTGATTCTGCTGCTGTTGAAATCTTCCCTAGACAGAGGTTTGGTCACCTGGACCATAACCTAAACCTTGAGCAGGCTGAGGGAAGAGTTTCAGTCTGTCCCTTGTGCTTCTGCCTGGAGGAGGCAAATTGCAAATGCCAGACTGTGCAGTGCTCAGGCAAAATAATGCCAAATTCCCACTGATTGCAGTGGGAGGCCCTCCCCACATCTGCAGCCCAAAGTGTGGAGACAAAACTCATGAGGTTTATGATTTCATGCAATCAGTCAGGATTGCACATCTCCCTGTCCTCCCCCCGACCCTAGTGCTGGTCCCAGAGGGAATTATCCCTTGCTTGGTGGCTCCTATCAGTGCTGAGTACAGAGGTTCCCCCCAAACTAAACTCAGCCTCCACTGGAAAGTATTTTCCTGCTCCCCCCCACTTTCCAAACCCGACTACTTCTGTTGGCGAGGCACCTCAGACGTTTATCTGATAATTGAGTTATTAAAAGATTTGGTTTCCTTGGGATCATAAATCAATAAACAGGAGGATTAACACGGCAGCTTTGCTTTGTAACTCAAGGGAAAAGTTTGAGGAGAGACCATGAAGTTTGTTTTCAAACCAAACAGGTGGGTTGCTGTAAATTTTATTTCATTCTTAGTCTCATTTTTTTTTTTTTTTTTTTTTAAATAACAATTTTTTTTTTTTTTTTTTATTTTTTTTTTTTTTTATATTTTCCCTTTTTTTTTTTTTTCTTTTTTTTTTTTCACATTCAAGATGTGATGGAAACAAGAAGCCA